CCTGCCTCAGCAGCCCACTGCCCACCCTGCCCTTGAACCTGGTGAGCACATGCCTGTTGGCAGTAACTGGCTGTGGCTAATTTTCATCTGCTTCTTGGGACAGAGACGATGGTTAAGGGTGAGTTGGGGTGGGGTGGAGCGGGGTGGGGTGAGATGGGGGAGACAGTATGGAGGGCTGTTCTGAAAACCAGAACAGATATAGGTCATGAGATACAGGAGAGGCACGCAGATGGGGATGAGTGGGAGAAGATTCTAGACACATTTGGTCTATCCCAATGAGCCCACATCACTCCCGGTGCCCATGCATTCCACATCTGAATGAACCACCAAATGCAGGGGTAAGGATGTGTGCAGAAGCACGCACCTTTCTGGGAGAGGGGATTGCATGTGGAAATTTCTTTCTACAGATGTTACCCATATTGCCTACTTCATATACTTCCTGGTGATCCAAGCCAGGTGACTCGGTGACTGAGGAATGGTGCAGGAGGTGACTTGACGGTGGGGGTGGAAAGATTAAAGTAAGCAGGTGACCCTGCTCATTCCTACCTTGAACTCATTGACTTGCAGGTCCAGGGAACGATGCTTGGGTAAAAAAAAAAATCACTAATGTCCTCCTGGCTATTTGGAGGACGGAGCCTCTTGGTTCCTGGCCAAAAAAGAAGCTATCCCCAGCTCGTGAGCATAAATGGGGAAGGAAGCTGTGGTGGAGAGCGTCTCGCAGAAGAGGAAGGAGTGGAAAGAATCTGGTTATAATGACCACCCTCCTTCCCAACTTCCCATCTGAAAAGAATATATCCTTGAAGGAACCAAGAATTCCTTAAATTTTGTTTTCTTAATAAAAACTATTTAAGAAATATGAAAAACAAAAAGGGAAAATAGTTCCACCCTCCAGTGGGCATCACTATTAATGTTTTCAAGTATGGTATTCAAATCCTTTCCCTATGTGGCTGTGGGCATGTGGGTAGGAGTATATTTCCTATCAATTAAAATCCAGGTATCATGTGTGGCCCTCCTTATTGCATCAGAATAAGGGGTTGGCTGCTTTGGTACCAACCGGCTCTGGGCCCTGACATTGCTCTTACCTGCTCCTCCTGGGCACCTGGAAGGCATTACAGAGTCACGATGGACGTCGAGGCATCATCATAGGGTTGAAGCTGCTGCCTGAGGGAGAGAGGCTGTGGGTGTCTTTGGCCCCAGAAAGCTGAGAAAGCATGCGGAAGAATGAGAGGAGAAAAGGGACAGAAAGTGTAGTGATACGGTAGATGACAGAGGTGAAGGAGTAGTGGGGAAGAAAGCTGGAAAAGAGAAGAGAGAACTCCTTAAAGATTAGAAAACAGTTTCCAAATCTCTAGTCTACCCCGGGGACAGGTGGGACTGTTACTGGAAAGGGGACCTGGCCTGGAGCAGGTCTGCCTAGGGCCGGCTGGTAGTGTGTGGACTCTTGACTTGGTGCAGGGAAGATTCCACAACAGGAGTCCAGGTGATTTTTGAAAGTATGCTATTAAAGCTCAGGACAGTGAAACACAAGAAGGGCTTAGCATGGAAGAAGTGACAGGAGAGGGCCTAGGTGGGAAACATTAGCCTAGGTGGGGCCGCTTTCACTCACTGGGAAGTCAGAGAAAGGGGGCCTTGAGGACAGGGTCAGAGGGTTAACCCAGGAGGAGCTGCTACTGCCCATGGCTCCCCTGGTTGCAAGCCTCATGGGGTCTCTTAGTTTAGGCAATGAACACCTGGGGGGAAAGAAGAGGGGGAAGGGAGGGAAAAGGTGTGGGTGTGTTCCTGGGAGAGAGAGCAAGAACTGGGACCTTCATTTTGAGGGGTTTTAAAGAGTGGGAGTTTAGGGAAGGTCGTAGTGGAGGATGTCAATAGAATATTCATCAGTTCTATGCTGATGTACCAAAATGAGATTTATTCCCTTAAATTCATCTGTCCTTGGGTGTGGTTGACAAATGGCTCTCATTGGATTTCTGTTATCTGTATCCCCGAGTAGAGTGATTTAAGCTCTGGTTGGGGAGAAGTGCAAACCATTTACTCTTTTTTTTTTTAAAAGATTTTTTTATTGGTTTTTAGAGAGAGGGGAAGGGATAGGGAAAAAGAGAGAAACATTGATATGAGAGCAAAACATTGATCGGCTGCCCTGACCAGAAATCAAACCAGCAACCTTTTGGTGCATGGGATGACACCCAACCAACTGAGCCACAGCAGCCAGGACCAAACCATTTACTTCTAAGTATCCTTGGTTTAGGGAAGATAGGATTTACTAGATGGCTGCAAACTGCTGTTTAATTATCTATCTCAGTTTCCCTACTCCACTTGCCAAGGAATTTTCCTAGCTTCTTTAAATCTTGCCTCAGGACAACCTGGTTCCCTCAGGCTGCTGGTACCTGCCCCTCCCACTGGAGAGCACAGTGCAGGTGCAGAAGGGCAAGTGAGAGGGTGAAGAGCCTGCCCCCCTTTCTCCTCACTGACCCAAGGACACTGCCCTTGGTGAGAGACCCTGTGCACCTGCTCCGTGCGGCTCTGACCGGGCCTGCCCTCTCCCACCCCCTCCAAGATTAGCTTTATAGGCTGGGTGCTGCTTTCCTGTGCCTGCCCCTGCTTATCAGCTCATCTACAACCCCCACCTCAACCTTATCGCTGTCTCCATCTCCTTAGACTAATCCCAAGGCTTCAGAGGCTATTACCACCTCGCCCTGCCTAACCCCCAGCGCAGCAGAAAAATGTCCCACAAGGTGACTCCCTCCCCTTAACCAGCCCGCACCTCCCCCTCCCCAGGGTGAGAGCATGCTTTCTCCTTGTCTCCGGCATCTACTCTTTCTTGCCTTTTTTATTTTCCTTTCAACTCCTGCCCTACTCTAAAGGTTGTTTTGTCCACCTTGCAACTGCTAGAAAAAACACCTTCATTGTTACGCAAAAGAAGGGAGCATTTCCCTGCTCCGGGAGACCCCCAAGGGGGAGGGTCCCCTGACTATCTCCACTCAGATCTCTCACATCTTTATAGGCAGAAGTTTCCTAAGAAGCAACAAGGTCTGGCATGTGATCTGGAGCTAAGGTTTCAACTTTAAAGCCAGTTCCAGTTTTGCTACTTGCTGTGGGTACTCACACTTCCCGTCTGGGCTCCGTCTTGGTCTTCTCACTTATGAAATAAAGAGGACCTTTCCTATTCCCACCTACCTCTTAGGGCTATTGAATGACTACAGTTCAGTCGTGGGTATATACTGCTTTGAAAACGATCAGGAGGAGAAATAGAAACTACCCTATCAGACAGTTTGGCTTACTCTTTCCTCCTGCTGTCTCATTCCCAGAGAGGGACCCAAAGGTGGGTGGGTCTACCTCCTTCACCTGCCTCGCTTCCTGCTGTGAAAACACAGGGCCCTCTGAAGGTCCCCTCTGATGGGGGCTCCAAGTAGCTGGAAGAGAAGAGTCATCCTGAGTTTCTCACAGAGGAGGGTGGCCTGGACCTCTTTTGTGAGTCAGGGCTGCAGGGTTGAGGACAGAGATGACCACCACTCAGGGAAGCAGCCTCAGGGGCTTCTAAGCTCATCTCTGAAGGAGAATCAACATCCTTGAGTTCTTAGGATCATGCTTTACAGCCGCTTCCATGAGAGAGCAGAGGTGCTTCCCCCCGCATTTTACAGAGTAGCAGACTGAGGCACGGAAAGCTCACCTAACTGATTTGCAAGGGCTGAGAGAGCCAGGATTCAAACCAGGCTGATAGCCCAGCTGGAGGACATGACTTCCTGATCACATGCATCCCACTGACTGCTCACCTTGCTTGTGGGAGCCAGCTTCTAGGTCTCTCACCTAGCTCCCCATTCAGAGTGCTCTGCCCGCCCCTCACCTGTCCAGGTCTCAGCCCCAACCCACTGCCAAAGTTCCCTCCCCTCTCCCCTCCTGGCTGTAGGGCAGGCTCTGTGTCTCAGAGGTTCACTCTAGAAACAGCTCCTCCCCTTCCAGGTAAAGCTGCTCTCTCGTGACAGGGCAGCCAGTCACCAGTGCACATGCATACACACACACCCCACAACCACAGGCTGCACATACAAATAGCACGGGAGATACAATCATTCTCACTCCCAACCCCCAAGCAAACCTGGCCACTTCCTCAGTAGCTGCTGAGTCCTGGACCTGCCTCTTCACCACGCCCCATCACCTGCCTGCAAGGAGAAGACATGGGGACTCCTCCACCCAAGGTGAAAGGGCCCTGGACCCACCTCCAGAAACTTCTGACCTCATGGATGTTCAGAGAGAAAGACTGGGATCAGCAGCTGGATGAGGCCCACATGCTGCAACAGAAGAGGTAAGCTGTCCGGTCACATGGCGTCCCACCTCTCGCTGATCCACAGACCTTCTTGCCCACTCCAGTCTATCCCCAGAGTTCAGCGCCAGACACTTGGATGTGCCCTTTCTCCCAACCAACCGTTATAGTCACAAAACCCAAGTTGCCCCTCTCAGTGGTGAGGGGTGGGGGATGGAGTTGAGCCACACAGGGAGACCTTGATGTGGATTCCATAGATTTAGAGGCAGAGATCTCATCTGCCTACCTGGTGGGAGAAGAGGGTGGGGACAAGAGGGACCAGAGGGAAGAAGCCAGTATGTTCGGGGGGTTGCAGACAGGTGCAGGCTGGTGGAGAGCAGGTTGCTGGGGAAGGGAGGAGACCCTGTGGGTTGAAGAAAGAGGGAGGAATCAGCATTAGTAGAAGTGGAAATGAATTGGTGGGAAAGAGGAGGAGAGCTTTGTTCACCTGGAGCTGACAGCCAAGGAAGGAAACCCAGGTGACACTGGAGAGTCCTCAGTTCAGTCAGCGGTCACCAACCTTTTGGATCTCATGGATCACCAGTGGTTCGCGGACCATCAGTTGGTGACCAGTTCATCTGCCTTTTATTGAGTGGGGCGTGTGCGGCGGTGTGCTGGGGACTGGAAATACAGCTGTTGATAAAGCCTGTGTCTGCTTCTGGGACACTCAGTGCAGGTGGGGCTGATACACCTGGGGGCAGGTCATATCTTGGCTAATTAGCCCCGAGGTCCAGATTCCTGAAGTGCAGGCAGGGCAGGGACCCATCTGTGGGTGGGCCTCTGCCTCGGAGTGTTTGGAAGAGTTGTCTCCCATGGGAGAGCATGGGAGCTTGGGGAATGAGCTGAACACACACTGGCAGATCAGGGGTCCAGCCAGGGCTGGTTTCACAGGTAGGTGACCTCTACAGTTGCACAGGGCTCTGGGTTTCAGAAAAGCCCTGCACTCTATTTAATGCACTGCTATCATCTGGAAATTCTTAATAATATTTTAAACAAGGGGTCCTGCACTTTCATTTTGCCCCAGGCCTTGCAAATTGTGTAGCAGGGCTTGGGCGCAATCTGAACCCTCATTCCAGGAAAGGCTCTCTGCTTGCTCAGCAGCAGCCACCCCAGGCCCTGCAATGGAACCTTTGGCCTCCCACCTGTGTCCCTGCTTTGGACTGGGATTAGGGCAGACCTTCCCTCTGCAGGGGGCAGTGGACTAGAGGCTTCGGGCAACAGGTTGTGTGTAGTGCCCGCAGCATAGAGCTGAACTCTGGAAGCCTAGCCCTGGCCACCCTGAGCTGTGGCTGGGACTGAGGGTCCAGGTGAGATGGGGCAGGGGCTGTCCCTCTCTCTGCTGGTCCCTTTCTGAGAGCGCTTTCTTAAATTAGGGCAGACCTGAGCTCTGCCTTGAGGAAAAAAAAAAAAAGCTGCTTCACTAAGTAAAACACCCTTTCCAATGGCTCATGGGGCCACTGAAGAGGAATTTGGGACTGAGAGACATCATGGTCACCAGTCAGTTTGTCTGCCTTTTGTCTCTCCCTCATGACTCTCAATCTGCCAGACCCTGTGGTCATCTTCACAGCCAGCTAACACTGACTTGCCCAGCAGGGTGGGCTTCAGTTTTGTCTCTTGTTTGGCTCATCCAGCAAGGGGAAACAAAGGCTGGCTGAGAGAGGTGCCCTGAGATGGGCCTTTCCACAGGGTGCACTCCCCCCCCCACCCCACCCCGCACTCCAAGCTGCACTATCTGAGAAGCTCCAGGTTGTGTTCCCCCTTAGTTACAACAGGGGTGTTTAGACCATTCAATTTGAGGGCAACACCCAGAATAGATTCTCCATAACCCACCCCAAACTCTCCCTGCCCCCATCATGGATGTGAACCTAAACAGTCCAGAGGGGTAATCAGAACTTCAGCAACTCACAAACACACACGACTCTCATACCTGGCCTGCCTCATCCTCTCTGCCCAGTTCTAATCTCTCAAACTCCCCAGGCCAGGGTGTCAACCGGGGACCAAAGTTCCATCTCCCTGACCTGCTCCAGCTCCCCAGGTTCCTGAAACATTTACACAGCTTAGATGGATTCAGCCAGGCCTCATGGTCTCCTCTCCTGGCCACCAGGGCCACCCACTCTGCAGCCCAGGCCCTCCTTCCCTGGTCACTACAAGCCTCTGCTGAGTCTCCTACTCAATGAGCCCAGGCCCCCAGTGTGGGAAGACCTAGTGTGATATAATGGCTCTGCTCTCAGCTTCACTGCAATTCTGTCTCTGCATCACTCATGTTCATTTTCTCCCAGGATTCAAGAATCTCCACTACTTCAGGCTGCCAAGGACAATGACCTTTCTGTCTTGAAGAAACTTCTGCTAGACAGAAGCTGCGACTTACGGCAAAGAGGTGAGCT